ATATATATATATATATCCACTTAATAGGTCTAATGAAAAGTAATAAATCTAATGATTGTATATTAAAAAGCTTGCTATATGAGAAAGTAATAAATTATAGTAGAAATCTATTAAATGTATTTTCTATATTATATAACCTAATTATAGGAGATTTAATTACATAATCTTTCTTCTATATGAGATTTCCTAATCTATAGAAATTGGAGTGTATATAAATATGAAACATATGTTTTCAATTGAGGAATAAGAAAAAAAAAGTTGTATTGCTTCACACCCGAATCGAGAAGACCTGCTAGACAGAAGAGAGAATTATTAGTTTGGTTGCTCGACTGATGAGCAAACAAAAACTATGAGGTTCACAACCCTCGATTTCGATGCATTCGAAACTCGACAAGAGGTGTTCGGGTCGGTAACACATGAAATGGCGACTAAAAAAAAATTGAATCATTTGTCGCTTTAGCGAACAGAAGATAAAGAACCCTCTATTTCAATTGACCCCTCTCAAATCAAAGAGGAAAGAAGGGAAGTTAACTTGTTGAAATCAAAGAGATCGCAAGAGGTCACAGGCTCGAAAGGAAGAAAAGAATGAAAGAAATCGAACGAACCGTTCAGACATAGCATTCAGACGAAAGAGATGAGCAAGCTGATCTGATCGAACGAGAGAGACGAGAGAGAGCTGCGATTCCTGTGTCCAAGAGAGACGAAACAATTAATGGTAGTTGCTCGTGTGTACGAGGAAGATGAAGTTGTGTAAGAGGAAGGGAGACAAAATAGGTGTTTGAACGAATTAGGCTCGTGCCTCCGAAATAATGTATAAAAATCATATGATTTTTATTTCTTGCCCCTCAATGCAATACACCTTACAACAAAGGTATAATAATGAAAGAAAATAAAACAAGAATCCCACCAAATAGGAAATAATAAAAAATAATGAATATATAATAAAAAGAAAACATAATTAGTGAAATATATCCTAATGGAAGAAAATAAATTCATTTCTATTCAAGTCTGTGAATTGGCACTTTCCAGCATATTTTAGCAAAAATGAAACAATAAGGAGTTTGACAAGAAATACAGAAATTAAAAACAGTCCGAATAATGGACACCCTATTAGTGGAATTTCTCTTAAGGATGATTTGAAAAAAATAAATAAATAAATAAAAACGGGTGGCTTCCTTTTGAAAGCATTTATGTTAACTAACATGAAAAAATTTTGGTGCATTTAAGTAGCATGAAATATTTCCAATTATGGCGTTACTAAGGTCTGATGCCTTCAAGAATGCAAAAAGTATGTGAATCTTAATGTAAGAAATATGGTAACTATATGAAGCATATATGTAGCATAGTCTGGCCGCATTCAAAACTTACATTGCAATAGACCGAGACACTTAAAGGTGCAATGCCCGGAACCTACATTTACGGACAATTACAAATGATGTTGTTGACCTCATTTTTGGTGAGGTCTCTTACTCTTCTTAGAGCCTAAGATCTAGCTTTAGGCTTTCCTACTGACTCTCTTAAAGGACTAGCTGGGACCTACACCAACTAGAAATTCGAGCCACTTCTTGACTCCTCGCAGTTTCATGTGACCGGTTCTAAATCCTCAACGCTTAGTTGAGTCAATTAAAACCAACGCGACGAACCTCGAGTCGAGTACCCATAGGATATAAAGCCTCAGGAAATCCTTCGTGTAGTCCGCGCACACTCACAATGCACGAATACCACAATTCACGCATCGATGCGCTCAATTATCGAAATTCACGTCGTTTGCACGCGTGGAAGGCTTTGCGATTGATCAAAACTAGAATCATTTGCTAGAGTGATCGATCACGAGCGATAATTTTAAAAGAAATTTGAATTTGACGCGTTTTCGACCTGACCATCGTCAAAGTCGTTCGGGCAACCCGGGATGACGAAACGAACCGCACCGGCGCGTTCGGAACGTCAAATTTAGCTAGAATAAACCCTCACTTTGATATGGTTTTTTACATGAGCGAGAAATGCACAAATTGAGGGAATTTAAATATCATATATATTATGGATGGGATATATTGGTATCATATAGCTGGGGAGCGTCTTTTATTTTCGCCTAAAATCCTTAGCTCGCAGCTCCTCTTGGTTTCGTCCCCGGATTAAGCCCTAGCCACGCCTTCCCTCTCGCTGGTACATTCTCTTCGCGTAACGAGGAGTTGACCTCGTCTCTCTCGACATTCTCTGCCCGAGTTGTTTCTTCCCAAAGCATTTTCTGCTTCGTCTTGCTGCGCGGGATGCTCTTTCGGGGTAGGTTCACTCCAGCGCCTTTGTTCCCTGGGTCACGAATGAGGCAATCTCCCTCCTTCCTGATAGTTCCTCCCTCAGTAACCTTGGTTGTGGTGTGGTATTCTTTCTCCTGGGGTGGCTTCGCCCGGATAAGATCCGCAAGCTTTTCTTTCCTTTTTTTGCGCCTATAAAAGCCCATGGGAGGGCATTGTTGTGAGGTTACAAATTTTGGGACCCTGGGGGAGACTGTGGAAATTGTTTCTCAGCTAGGTGCTTATGAGCTTGAAGTTTGGGAGTGTTGTGGCTTTCTTTTGTTGTTTACAAAGCAAGGTATGTTTCCTCTCATCTGCTCTTCTTCTCTGCTCGACATAGGCTGGACATGGGTTTAAGCGAGTTTCTTCGTTTTTAAAGAAAAAGTAGAGAGTATCTATATATATACATATGCAGGGAGTTGTTTGCCATAGCTGATATCTCATGTTAAGCTTGCTATCAATTGCTAGGCTTTTAGGGATCTTGTTGGGTCTGTTTTAAATGCTTCATGTTGTTTAGCTAAGGATGTTAGGCTTACAAAAGACATGGTTCATCTCTTAAGTATGTACAAGTTTTCTTCTTGTGTTCTTATCACATCTATACCTTGAGATTGAGGCTTGAGGGCTGTTTAAGTCTCCTAGGCTGCGGTTTTCTTTGCTGTGTTGGTTTAACATCGAGGCTTTTGGAAATTTTACTTCGAGGGCTTGAAATATTTTAATCCTTATGATTGGAAAAATTCAGATGTCCCCTTTCGAGAAATGATCTATTAACTGTTGGGAGAAAGTCCAGTGCTCAATCCTTTGGGCTAAATTGATTTCAATAAAGAAGAAAGAGAGAAAAAGAAAGAGGATCCTTTTAATATTTGTGACTTGGAACCTTCTGGATTGTGCCTTCCGAGGACGTTTCTGGCTTGCATTGGCAAGTGTGCCCGAGCTCATTGCTCATTCGAGGAATCCCATCAGGTGAATGTTTGAGGCTAACACTCCAACCGCTTTGGCTTTTCTTTCTTAAATTGGTTTTGAATGTGGGTTGGTCTTCTTTTCTTTTTTTATTTCTTGCTTTTCAGTTCACTTTCCTCGCTTCTTGATTTGGATTTTAGGCGCTTATGTCTGAAACATAAGCACGCAGATATAGCTTCGGCTATATATATAAACCATCATGCAATGTCGTAAGTTGGACGGTCTTTTTGGGGTTTTAGGCCATGATGAAAAAGGCATTCTATGGTAGAGAGGAATAATATTTCATCATACGACATCGGGACCCGATCCAGTGACCCAATGAAATGTAGGATGACAATATTATTCACCGCATCAGACTAGCAGGGTACCATTACCTTCTTAGGTTGTTAGTGGTCCCAGCCCGACGGTGCGATCAACTTGTGGACAATTATATTTTATAAAAATGAAAAGAACAAATACGATAATAACAGATACGTTATTTACAAAAATATTTTGAATACAAAACAGAAATTACTTTCTCTTATATGCATGGAGCTTATATGCATGCCAAAATATAAATTTTAAGTAATATAATTCGAATATCCACTTGTCAATTGTCGGTAGTGGGCAAAAGAGCACCCTCCTAAGTTGGTATAGTAAAACACATTTCTAGTTGAATGTCGGGCTCTATACATACGGGTGACCAATAGTTGCCTTCGGAGTCCCTCAAGAATACCTAAATGAGTTTAGCCCGACCTGAATGCTTACGCCTTTTTTTTCTTTCTTCGGATTTTTTTATATTTTCCTACGGTTTTATCGAGATCTTTGTAGAATACACATGATATTCTCCGAATTTTCTTCGTGTTTTCGATGGTTTTCTTCGAGTTACCATGGGTCATCTGCCATTTTTTCTCGAGTCTTTTCAAGAGTCGTCGACCCGTCGGGTATACAGGTTTGTTTTGCATTTATAGTGTTTACTTTTGTTATTGCACACTTTACTGCATATACACATAGTTCATGCCTGCAATATTCTTGTTTACTGTTCATTGCGTTTCGTAGCATGTTCCCTTTTATAATTCATGTTGTTTCTACAGATTTGTAGGGGACTTTTAGGTTAGAGGACAGTAGGAATATACAAATGTAAAGTGTGCATGCAAGCAATGATTTACAAATGTACAATTCTCCTATATGAATTATACATTGATTTTACATATCCTACATGCAAGCAATGATTTTAGTATTTTGGGTGGTAGGATGAAATCTGTGCGATAGCTATTAGATAGATGCATTGATATGGCTATCAAGCTCAATGGACAGGGTAACACTCTCGTTAATGCTTAATTTGTTACAAATTCTAGTTGTCCGAATGATTTTTACGCTCATAGTTCGCGGTTCATGCTTTAAATAATGTATTTTTAGTTTAAAATGGAGTTTAACCCAAGATTCTTAAACGCTGCAATTCTTAGTAAAATCAAACCAAATAGATGAAAAGATCCTTTCATGCTAATACAAAAGAAAATCATAAAATAATATTTAACAATACCTACAAGATATCCTATAGAAGTAAATAATAAAACCAATTCAAGTATCAGAAAGAAAGCATGATTCAATATTTAAGATGCCTTATCCAGCCAGTTATATTTTCTTGAGTCACAAGTGTGCAAAATATCAAAAAGATGCATGAGCCCATTACAAAAGTACATGACAATAAGGTTTTATCCCAAAAGACAATAGTATTAGGCATGACAAAAAAAAATACCAGTAACAATGCTGAAATGCTGTAGATTTGAGCATGCACCAACAAAACGCACAACGTTTTTGTGTCGAACTTCCCTGAAAGACACAGTACACGCAAGAAATTTAGCATATATCAATTTTTTGCTTATGGAAAAAGCATAGCTTCAGGAAGGCAAACGTTCCAGATGACCAAGTAATACAAGCACAATTTGGAAAAGGAAAAGATGCTAATTTAGTCATGTTGACTGCACACTTAAACATGGCTTTTAAATCAAATTTTAGATAGTATAATAAACCATTTCATGGACAATGCTCTAAATCTTACCTCAGTATCATTAATTCTTGTGCAAATTCAACTCTCATGGTCGTATTCAGATGCTCGGACCGTAAAATCTTTATGGCAACATCTTGACCAAGGTAACTCCCTCGATATCTTTAGATCAAGGAAAAGCTTATTTTACTGTTAAGCATGCGTTAAAAACATATTGGGCGGAGAAGAATTATGAATGGTTTATTTTTTAACTTACAAATCGCCAGAAGATCCACATCCAATATTCTCTTCCATCTTCAACAATCTTCCATCTATTTCACAGTCACTAGGTATATATTGCATAGCATGTACAGATGAACCAGATAATGACCCCTATAAATTTTGCAAAAATACAAATAGGACTGTTCACTATTTCTACCATCACTAAAAAGCATAACATAACCATAACTATAAGCCAATGTTTCTAAAAGAACACTTCAAATCACGTTTCATTAGCCAAATGAACGAAGTGCGTGAAGCCGGTTTGAAAGTGCTAAAGTAAATTTGCAATTTTGTTTTAATATTTAAGTTTTAATTATTGCAACAAACTATTAAAATTTTTTTGAATTTTAATTTGTAGATTCAAACTTAATATTTGCCTTCAATATAGATACAGTACAACATTTTTTTCTAGTTTATATCAACTTTTAAGTCATAATTTATATTTTATAATTGTTGATTAATGAATATATTTATATAATAGAAATTTATATAGCATATTAGCACTTCGGTTAATAAAAGCACTGTTCATCTCCGCATTTTGCATTTTAAATAAAAAATAAAGTCTTGCGTGTTGCTTTGAGCTTTGTGCTTTAATAACATTGTATAAGATAAGAGAAAAGTTAAGCATTTCATAACAGCATAGCAGATATTCTTCAAAATGCATCATTTCTACAAGCAAATTAATGACTAACATTTGCTTGTGTCGCGCCTGCGTAACAAGAGTTTCTGGAAATCTACATACAAGAATTAAGAATTACAGAGAATTTCAAACAAGAACATTTTTTTTACTTCTGTATGAGTGATAGGTAGTTGCTCTAACTTAATTTTATATAGGTATATGACCTAAAAGTTTCCTATAGCATAATGACCATTAAGATGCTTATATCACCCTCGTTGCTTTATTGGAAATAAAATGCACTATGGAAAGTTTATAGAAATATAAGCCTAGGAAATCTGCAAAAAAAAACTTGCTTACACATTCACTCATTACAAACCATTACTGAGAGATTGAATTCATAACATAACAAATCACGATAGAGAGACGGATCTAACACTTTAGAAAGGTATACACAGATTATTAAGTAGGTAAGAAAAATCCGCATGCACACTCAGAACTGCAGAGAGAGAGATCTTGCCATCTTTCATTAAAAGCTATGGATGGATACACTTTCAAATATATGTAACAGCTTAACTATGTTACAATAAAATACAATGTAACAAATCAATTACAAGAAGCAAATCTAGTGGATTAAAACTAACTCAAAAATATATACCTCGCTCTTTAAAATTGCTGCCTTAAGCTTCTCATGCAAAGAATCAGTTTCCTGAGAATAATATTTAAAATAAAGAATTAGTTACTCTTGAACACGGGACTGCCAGTGGTTGTTTTAACTGGTGTGATGTAACCAATTGCAAGATGAATGCATCAAATTATACTTTTAGAGAATACAGCAAAAAGTATAGAAGGTAATTTTACAATTAAATTAGGGTTTGTTCCAATTTGTGGTATACTAATGAGGTACTCTCAAGGTTAATAATAAAAACATTTACATGGCTGTGATGGCAGAACCGTCTTGCAGACAAAAATAAGTTGCCCTATGTTTCTTTGAGTTTAAAGGTACTTTGTAGGAGAAAATACCCCATTAATCTGTTGTTCTGTATTTTATTCAAGTGAGATTTTTTAACCTTAAAATAAGACGATTGGTAGGCTAAATATTTGAGCACAAACAAAACGTTAACCAATAAACTTCTCTTCTAGACTAAAATGCCCAAGGAGCTTTGCGATTATTTTTAAAGATATATCCATTTTTAAATACAACAAACATTGACAAAAATATATCGTATCCGAAGGATTATTTGTGCATTTGTGCATGTTTGACATTTCAAGCAATGTTGGAGTATTATGTGTGCGTGTAGACACACATGTGCTTCTTTCACTCTCATGTTGCCATTTGAAGAACCATCCCTCTTTCAAGAAGCACGGATGCCTCTAAGAATATCAAAAGGGAAAGTTCTTGAATAAAATTGCCACATTTTGAAAATTTTGCAATCAAGCCAAACCACCTTGCCCAGTAATGCAAATTTTGTTCATGATTTACAAAAACGTTGTCGTTGGTGTTTATTTTCTAACCAACATCTTCGTTTAATTTGAAACTTTTAATTACCGCGCAGCCATTAATCAAATTAATATCAAAATTATTGGAAGGTTTCCCTTGATTTATGGCTTATATTTCTCTCCACTTGTAGAGAAAACCAACTTATATCTCTCTTATATAATTGAAATTATATTAAATCACAAATAATAGGACAATTTGTAGACAAGTAGAATCAAAATTGAGTGCCTCACAAAACACGTATTTGACTTGTTCTATCAAGACAAACATGAACCTAGTTCAATTCCAAACAATAGCCTTGAAAGAAACCTAATGCCGCAACGATTCACTGCATCAAGTCCAGCACTCAAACAGTGACCACTATATCTAATTAAAGAAGAAGGAAAAAATATCGAAGGCAAGCATAATTAACATTTTTTTTAGTAAACTGAGCAATAGTTTTCATCTATAATTATAGAAAATTGTCTCAATTGTAGCATCATAAATGTGTATGGAATTAGCAATTGTAAGCAGATACTTCAAATTTTCTATTGCATTAATCACGTAAGTAACCAGTACAGCTTTCAGATATGAACTTGCTAGTGGGCTTTGTTGCAGCAGTTGAAAGAACTTGTACTGCTGCAGTAGTCTTGCAATTTTTATTGTTCTTCCATGAATGGCTTTCTAACTTTTCATTTGTAACGTTTAGATATTTTATTACCCGAAGAGGAATTGAAGTGTCGAACAAAGTGCAAGAACAAGCGATTGAAGAAGAAATAAGGAGACAAAAATTGAACAGAGGGATAAGAAACAAGGGGATCGGAAGCGAACAGACGGATTCACCTATAAATCGACCCAAGAGGCGGGATCTCTCGTTTGTGCAATCAGAGAGCAGTCGAAGGAGTGTTACGTGCTTTCTTACCCAAGGAGACGATGCAACAGGTCTTGCGCTCGAGAGAAGAAGAACACAACTTTGCAAAATTGTCAAGTCGAGTCGAACAGGAAGACGAAGGAGCTTCCTTGCATGTGCAAGACTTCAATCATGCCCAAAAAGGAGCATTGCATAGAGGAGGCGCCTGGTTGGGCGAGCCGAAGCCAACTCATATGTCATCGAGCAGGCAAGGACTGCATGGAACTAGCAAAGGGGAGGAAGAAGCCTATGTGTGGTTTCCGCATCGTTGAGGTAAGTTATTTAAAACTAAAGTGAATTGAATTAATAATAAAAATAATAATAATGATAGTATATATATATATATGGCGAAACCTGGTGTCTCTTTGTCGATTTGCTTTTCGTCGTGTTTCCTCCTCTTCGTCGTGCTTCATCTGTGTCGTGCGGCGTCGGCTTCTTCGACGCACGTTGTTTCGGCTCTTTCAGGCTCGAAGAAAAAGAGGTTTCCGTGTCGTGCGACGTCACTTCTTCATCGCGCATCTTCTGTTGTCAACTGCGTCTCCTGCGGTTGCACTTCTGCGGCTCCCGACTTGTCTCCTGCAGCTCTGTCTACTGCGGCCCCATCTCCTGTTGCACTCGCGTCCGTCCTCCCGGCACGTACGTGAGCTGCTCGCAATCCAAACTCATTCCCTGTAGATTGCCGTTGATCAACTCTCTGTTCCATGACTACCGCTCCTCAACAATCGACTACTTCAGTTTTAAACCTTGGGAAGACTTCTTTTGTTAATATGGTTGGCTCTATGGGGATCAGATTAGGTTTTCCCTCCAGTTTACCATGAATCATTCAAAGGTCAGGAGGACTGCAGCCTTATCAAGAAGACGGGTAGGAAGAGTGACAAACTGACTCTATTCTTCTCTGATGTTGAAATTTCCAACCTAGTTAATAAGTTCAAATTCACCCTCATTAGGAAGTTCCAATTGTGACATCCCAAAATGGAAATCATTCAAAAGGCTTTTGAAGATCTCAAACTATTGGGACTTTAGAAGGTTGGCCTCTTTGATGGGAGACATGTGATGATACAATTATCTAAAGTGGAAGACCGTGCCAAAATATTTTCCAAAAAATTTATGACAATAGATGGAAAATATATGAAATTGCTTAAGTGGTTTCCTGATTTTGACCATAGCCAAGAACCACCTATAGTTCCAATCTGGTTTAAACTATCTGGCCTAAAATTGCACTACTTCAATCACCAACTCCTCTATTCTATTGGAGTTGCATTAGAGAGACCTATGAAATTGGATACACCCTCCTTCAATCTAACCAGGTATTCGGTTGCAAGAATTCTTGTTGAAAAGGATATCACCCTCCATGATATTGACAAAATATGGCTTAGTACTGCCCACAATAGGTATTGGCAACCAATTGTTGCAGAACAAAGTCCCTACTACCACAATCATTGTAAACTATTTGGACACACCCCTGTCAAATGCTTCAGGCCTCGCCCACATTTGAAATCGGCAGGTTCTATCAACATCAACTATGTGGAGGAAAATATAGCTGGCACTGTTAATCATCCAGAAATGTTGAATGAGAATTTGACTCATAAGGCTACTCACCAACGAATCCAGCAGCTTCCGCCTATTGTTGTTGAGGCAACTCTTTCTCAGATCACAAATACTATGAATTTTGTTGTAGCAGATGCTAGTCCGAGTGGCTTGGAACCACCTATTGCAAGAGAAGAGGACACATCAAATATTTTTATTGATTTATTAAAAGCTTCATTAGCATGCATATTGTTTTATTATTCACTTGTATTACTATGATTTAAGAGTATAAGTATTCACAGCCTTGTTTGGTTCATTGTTATTTCAAATTCACTTCTCAAGTTAATTAAGTGATTAACGATGAGCGTTAGAAGATATAACATTTATAGAAGGCGCGAATTCAAATGTAATTTTATTATTTTAATTTAATTTCATTATTGGTTCTTTCATTTGTTAAATTATAGAAGAATATAGAAAAGAAAATTTAGTTCCCACCGTATGACCGTCTGTTCCTATCTTGGTTAATTCCAAGTCTCGGGTCGGGTCTTGACAAAAGTGTTATCATAGGTCACGGTTTATGATTAATTAATAAAATCTTGATGAATGAGCCAATAAGATACTTACAAGAAAATTTTAAAAATTATAAAAATTACAATTAACTCAAAAGTTATATAAAAAGAAAATACGATAGAAAACGATAATTATTATTCATTCAGGTATAGTGACATACCTAAAATCATATAAAAAGAAAATACGATAGAAAACGAAGAAATACAACCTATTAATGTGAGCATGAATGCCCTCACCCAAATGATGGTAGCGATGACTCAGCTGATTTAGGCTCAATCTCTACCTTCTGCCAAAATCTTTAGTGTTGTGTGCCGAACCAGATTTCCTCAGAAGCGGGTAAAGTGATGTCTCTTTCAACAAGTATTCTAGTTTCAAATGGATAAAAAAAATTAAAAGTAAGAATGTCCGTCTTGAGTGGCTTTCCATAAGCTAAGGCAATAGAGTACATTATTTTTTGAGAAAAATAATGAAATTTCAGACTAGCGAGGCGAATCCAAACCGAAATGATTGGTGGTTACGTCAGTGGGTCAAAATTCAAAGACCATTTCAGAATCTTCATTGTTCTGTTATCAATTCATATTATCTTCCTGACAAATAAGCGCATGTAATTATATTCATTACTAAGTTGAATAAGAATGCCTCATATCTAATAGACCAATTTTTCACTCTCCAACAAGGTGTCTAAGTTCAAATTCTTTGCGAATGAGCTCCACTTTTGGATGCCATATAGAAATTTTTCAACCAAATTCAAACGACAGAAGGAAACAAGTTGAATACCTTCAGCTTCTGTAAAAATTATGGCAATCTTCCCATTCTTACTAACAGGTTTCTTGATGTCCTCCGCCCACTCAAACGAATGAGGGAAAGATGGCGATTTAGGTGTGTATGAGATGTACACCCGCAAGGGCAGCTGCATACGATCTGACCGAAGTCATCCTCAAAGGTAGGTGCGGTCTTCATAGAAGAAAGCAGCCCTGCTCAATGAGCGGAAAAAGCTTTGAAAAAAAGAAAGAACACAAGACACAGTGAGACGGGACGGGCGCAGAGAAGTCGCAGAAATCGCGAGTTGTACCCGCGAGAGGGAGCCGCTGAGCGAGGAAAGATGTGAGACAAGCCACAGAGGAGCTGCAGAGCGAGGAGAGACGGACCGCAGAGTAAAGACGGGAGGAGACGCGTCTCAGACCCGGAAGCGGGGAAGACAAACGAAGACGAGCGCGCGAAGTCGTAATGTCTCAAAGTCGGAGAAGAAGAAGACAAACGGAATCGAGCGCGAAGACAAGCGAAGCCGTAATTGTTGCTAGGGTCAGCCATCGAGCGAAACCCTAGCAGAGCCGAGCGGGAAGGAAGAAGACGCCATGATATAAATGTATGTGTGTGTGTGTATCTATATATATATATATATATATATATAATAGAAATTAAGTGGGATTACATAAAGTAAATTTAACACTTAACTAATCAAAAGGTAATAATTTATTTAAAAATTATAATAAATTAAATAAATATCATATTTATGTAGGTTTCAAATTTAGAAGTCATTGTCAAGACAAATTCAAGCTCAAATTAACTGTCATCAAGGTGAATACTTGTACTTTTAATCTATCATAATATTTTGATTCTTCTCGATTTTTATGCATTAGTAGATAATGATATTTTCACAAACTTTATTTTGATTTATATATATTTCTTTTTTGGTCACATTGTCAGAAATGTAAGTAGTTAATATCATGCATTGGTGTATGTTGCATATATTATACTGAATTGAATGTGACAAACACATGAATGATATAATTATATTGACTAATTGTCACCCTTTTATGGTACTAGTGAATGACCACTAAGATACTCGTACACGCATATAGGAAAGGATATTAATATTTATGTTTCTTGATTGACACAATTTTTAGATGGTGTTCTCGTGACTATTTTTATTGACAGTTGTACAGATATAAAATAATATCAATATGTTATAGATATAGTAAAATTTTTTGAATATTACCAACTATTTTTATTGATTATTAAGAGCTTGATTAGCATGCATATTGCTTTTTTTTCTCTTGTATTGTTATTATTTATAAGTATGAATATTCACTGGTTTGTTTACATCATCATTATTTTAAACTAACTTTTCAGGTTAATTAACTGATTAACAATAAGCATTAGAAGAGATAACATTTATAGAAGACGCAAATAACCAGTAATGAGGTAATGTAATTTTACTATTTTAATTTAATTCCATTAGTACTTTCATTTGTTAAATTATAGACAGATATAGAAAATTTAATTCCCACCGTCTGATCGTCTATTCTCTTCTAGGTTAATTTCAATTCCGAGCAGAATCTTGACACATATGTTGAAATTCTTAAAACAAGGCAACTAAAGTCATCAAGTTACATAAAAAGAAGAATCATGAAAAGCTTGCCTGACAACAAAGATAAAACTAAACATTCAATTTGATGCATAATTTAATAAGTAAATTTTTGCCATTAAATCTTATATTTTTTTCAATTTTAAATGCAAAATATATGGAAACTTGATATGCATCATTCAATCAAGCATTTAAAGTACATATTAAAGATGGATTATCATAGCACCTATTTTCAAGCATCATAAAGAAGCAAATTGTGACGTTCTTCAACAAAATAGAGACATACATTATAAAAAATTTACCAGCTAACAAAGTCATTCATCTGAGTTAGAAAGGAGACTTACTTCAACTGCCCATCCGTCAACAACAAATACATCTAATGAATAGCCATCAGTCGTTGAGAAAACATGTGCTTCACGGATGTTTAGTCCAAGATCAGATAGCAAAGCAGATAACTACGAGACAACATCATAGTTAAGCATAATTAATAGCTTCTAGCAACAAAAAGTTGGGGAAGACGAACATAAACACAATGAGAGGTTATGGATATATCTTAACGAAATGAGTTAACAGCCTAAGAAATATGCTGATTTATAAAGAGTAAAATCACAATCAACTTTGAAAGGAAAGATCAACCCCTGAGAAATTTAGTTTGGTATGCAAGTATATAATGGACATATATTTCACCCGTCATTTTTTTTCATATGAAAAAGAAAAACTAGTATTAACAAGCTTGAATAGTGCAAAACACTTCATTATCTATGTATTACCTAACAATTACAAAAAGGCAATACTAAATTTGCATCAAAATTATGTCCAATTTTTCACACATCCCAAAAATCGTCAAAATTATTGTTATACATTTCATTGCAATCATTTTAATATATAGAGATATAAAAATATGATAATATCAATAGTAATAAACTAATTTAGCTAATAAACAAATTTATTAAGATTTAATTAAATTACTGTAAACAAGAACCCATGTACTGTGACAACGCGTAATTTCCACTTTGGCTGGCATGCAATGGTGGTTTGTTTTGGTGAACAGTTGAGATGTTCTAAGGGAAAAAATCCTTCAAAAATTTATTCTTTATTTAATTACTTATATAAGAATTCCTAAAAAGCCTAAAGCACTACCTATGATATCAGTTTTTGCCCATATACCTTCCTGTACCAAGAGCCTGAGGCGGAATTGTGGGTGAAGAGCCCAGGAAACAGAGAGCATGCAGCTCTCGGATAGAAAAGCCAGAGAAGAAAAATAGAAGAAGAGAAGAAGGAAAAGATGGGAAGGAGAAAAGCTAGGAATTGAAAGCTAAATAAGGTTTTTGGTGATCTCTTTGGTAAGAATTGGTTTTCTTCTAGTAGTTAGCCCTCAAAGATTGACCGAGAAAGTACTCTGAGGTAAAAATACCATATTTGGATTATTTGAGCTATAGCTATTGATAACTAGAATTTAGTATTTTTATTATTATTATTATTAGATGCATACAAAAGATCAAGGAACCAGGACAACATGTGCAAAGAAATTCACATTGAGTGCCTAGTAGTAGACATAGAAATTCGAATTATAAAACAAGGAGCAAGGGATTCATTGGTTAATGTTTGCAACATCCTACACCATTATACCAATTGGTTCTGTATTAGCAAATAAAAATTCATCTTATTAAGCATATTTTGATGACATTAGCTAAGTTTAATTCATGTTGTATATAATTACTTGTTTATAATGAATTTAAAAAACATTAAAAATAAAATTCAAGTTAAGATCAATTAATAGGATATCATGTTTAATTTAAGTACACTATTAAATATTACATGTCATGCCATACTCTTGATACAGTTTAGTACAAACTGAATGTCAACAGTACATATCCATGTTTTTGAGTAAATGCAGAAAAAAATTATGTAATGAATAATGAAAGATCAACGAAATGTGATATCAATGGTGATAGGTGGGCAGCCTATGATAATCTGCGCAGAGAAAAATAAAAGTTCTGAAGAGATGAACCTCAAAAGATAAATAAAAAGGGAATGTTTAGATGAATCTACCTGTATCAAGGAATCATTCATAATTACAATTTTGAGATTGAATCAAACTTTATCAACAATTATTATGCTCAACGAGCTGGGTGATGCCGTAATGAATTAAATGTACCTACAAGCCTATGTAAATATTTTTATGATTTTTCTCAGATGATGAGTATTAAAAGTAAGAAAGAAAATAAAAATAAATTGATCTACAAAATGATCTAGCAAAGTAAAATAAAACACTTAACACCAAACAACCATTATTTGATTATGGTAGTGTAAACATGAGTATATAAATTTTTCTCTCCGTCAATTCCAAAATTTCAAATCAAGTCTAGCGACACGTTCAACATATATTTTCACGCTGCCTACACTTCCATACTAATCTTGTTTATTAAACTATTATTAGAAATTAAATCATGTCCAAATTTATGGCAAAGTAATTTTATAAAGTAGAATGGTAGGTTGAAATGTGATAATTCATTAATTTTTATTTATTACACCAATTTTACTCGATAAATGCTAAAGAGCAATTTGCTTAAAAAGAAATTTTTCAAGCCAAGAAAATCAATGTGGCTGCTCCATGACAAGTACCTATTACAAGATTTTTGTTTCTAAGTGTTCAATCCTATTTCTAGATTTTATAGATCTAACTGTTTCAGCTCCATCCAATTTCCTTTAAAAAAAAATTATAATTCTCACTACTTCAACTCACAATCAATAGCTTCAGTTGGAGTAAAAGGTAGGGCATTATGACAACTAAAAATCTGGTTGGTTTTGGATGGTGTTATTAATTTATGTTCTAATTTCTTTAACTGTAAATTGAGGAAGGCCCTGTAGGTTTGAGGCATGTAAAAAATACGGCTCTGATTCTACTTTTAATTAATGAATTTTTATTTGAATGCGATTCTTAGCCTTCCCCCTAGTTCAAATTTATCTTCTTGTACAAGCATAAAGTTTGATTTTTACTATTTTCTGACATCTTTGGTTATTTATTTCTTGTTATCATATCCTATGCACAACTGGGTTATTTTAAACATGGCAATATCTACTTTTCGACAATGGAGTGGATCTCAATTGATCGTATTATCATCACGAGTCCAAATTTCTACGCATAATTTCTAGTTGAGTTATTAAATTATCATTAGTAGTATTTCTATGTTATCAAGTTTTCATATGAAGAAATAAGTAGTTGTCAAAATTAATAATTTGCAAACTAAACTTTGAATAGTTGCGCATAATTTTATGCATATCATAATACATCCACAGTGGGAAACTCGAGATGCAATAATATTTTGCCTCAAATTCTGTTTTGACGTTATAGTGATCTTTGAACAAAAATTGCATCGCTCATTTTCATCTATAAATGAAATTTATTTATGCATAGAGTTTGATGAATTTTTATGATGACTTAACACTTCAATTAGCATGCATTTAAAGTGAGAAACACAAGGTGGGTTATAGAATGTTACATAAGAACTTAATTACTATGTTTGCAATTTAGCAATTTAAATTAGGCAATAAGATCTAAATAAGGTAACCAATAAGTTCCAATTCACTTAAAAGACTCCTAAGTCTAGAAAACACGATCCTTATCTCATTATTATCAAACCATCCATCAAGAAACTTTGAATGCTTTCCATGGATATTAAACGATCGTTAAAATGCATGAAATGATGCACAACACTACTTATAATGATGTCAAAAAATAATAGAAACTCTACATTGTATACTTAAAGGCCATGAGATATAAGTTATAGCATATGTTAGGATTTCTATGTTCATATAGATAGATTAAAAGCTAAACAAAATAAGGCAATGCATAAATTGATTGTTCGAAGTGTGTAACTTAAATCATAAAGCCAGAATGGCACTAAAAAGGAACAAAATAGTACAATAACGATAACTGGAGCAGAAATATTTGAAAGGACTACTGTAGTTGTAAAGGAGCAAAATGTAAACAAAGAACACAAGAAGAAACCCATATGCGGCAAGTAGTAAAGCAGTTACATTCATTATACACTATGGACAACTTTTACACTACTACAGCTTTTTGCTACTAGACGGACACTACTTTGTGGTGCAAAAAGTTGGCATCCAACTTAAAAATAATAGGAGAGTAGATCAAAGAATACTAAAATTATAATACGTTAATTCCTTCTAAGCTATAGATCACATAAATGTCAATGAATGTGGCCTGAGACATTGTTCTACTGCAAACTATGGACTATATTATGATTAAGCCCAAAAAAAAATCCAATTCATCAAAGTCTTGTTTATTATAAGTTGTGAAAAATCCTCAATAATGCAACTAAAATTGAGCAGATAAGAGCTTCATTTTGTTAATAACTGATTAAATAAGTTCAACATAATAAAGATAGCATTCCCAAGCAGAAAAGGCTGGGCAGGTATTTCCACACCAACCCGACTAAGCAGCTTTGGCTTGTCAACTGTGGAAAATATTATCTCATGGATTGGACTACATCGCCCATCATCCCTGCAAAGTAAACAATGAAAAGATAAATCTCGTAACTAGTTCCAGTTGCATGAAGAATCCAAGGAACTATTAAAACAAAGCCAAGAACAGATATATACACGATAATTTTTCTAACTATTCATATCATGATTGAAACATGTCCATGATTAACTACTAAAGTGCGAACAATTTTAAAAAGGAACCCTGTCTGCAAGTCCTTGAGTCTTTTAGTTGCATATCCTGTATCATTTAATTGTTGCCGGATAATTGCTGAAATATTGGTAGCCAACCATTAACATTTAATGCGTATATATGCAACGCACCTTAAATGCAGTTGCACTAGTCGCCACAGTTTGGATTTATAAACTTTAGATATCATAATTGTTTGCATGATTTATTATTGAAGAGAAACTTAAGAGGGGATTCTTAGAATTATTGTTACACAATCTTCAACCATAATGTTACATATATATTGGTAATTTACAATTTTACCAAATAAATCTAGCCTAAACACCGAAAAGAAATATATCTGAAATAAGCATAAATTGAAAGAGAATAAAACTAATCAAGGAATTCCCCAAATTGTCTCAAATTAATAGGGAGGTTGATCCTCCAATATTGCTAAACCCCCCTCAAACTGGGTCATAGATTTTGTAGGGGCCAAGCATGGTATTAAACTCTGAGGTTGCTTAGTGGAAAAGCTTTGTTGAAGATATCAGCAACTTGTTGATATGTCGGGATGTAGCTTAGTTATATAATTTCAAAGTTAACCTTTTTAAAAATAAAGTGTGTATCAATTTCAATATGTTTAATCCTATAATGATGCACAGGGTTCTTGGCAATTCTGAAAACTACTTGAATGTCACAAAACATTTATATAGGCTTATCAGAGGTACGCCCCAATTCCCTCAAAAATTTCTAAATTCAGACCACTTCATAGATTCCTAAAGCAGGTGTCCTATAGTTTGATTTTACACCGCTTCTAAAGACTACAACTTGTTTCTTACTTCTCCAAGTGACCATATTTTTTCATACATAGAAGCAATAGCATGTGGTTGACCTTCCATTAGTGAGTTACCCAACCCAGTTTGTATCAATGTAGATTTCTACCTCTTTGCTTATGGTTCCCTGAAACAATAATCCATAACCAGGAGTCTTCTTGAGAAACCTCATTTGAGTAAATCATATGCTGGCAGATAAATGACTTTTCCTACTAATCCTTAATATATTTTCTTATCCACATATATATTTTCTTCTTCCCTTTTGGATATTTTGTTGGGATCCATTGGAATATCGATATGTTTGCATCCAATCACCCCCGCCTACTTTAGCAAATCTAGGATGTATTTCCTCAGTGATATAGCAACGCTCTTCTTGGACCTTGCTACCTCCATATTTATGTAATATCTCATGGTTCTTAGGTCCTTGATTTCAAACTCTATAACAATTTTTCTATTTTAAGCATTTCTCTTTCATCATCACGAGTAAGAATCATATTATCTATATATACTATCAATTCAGCAATCTTACCTTCTTGAGTGTACTTGATGAACAATGCATGATTAGCTCGACTTTGCGAGTATCCATTACGTCTCATGGTTTTAGCATATCTTACTCTTGGTTACTGCCTACAACCAAAAAGTGACTTTTTGAGTTGCATACTAGATGTTTGTTAAAATCATTTTCAAAGTTTGGTGGTATCTACTTCTTCAAGATCCTCGTTCAAAAAAAATTTTATGTCGAGTTGATGCAATTATCATTTCCTGTTAATTGCTTCTGAGAACAGAACTCTGATAGTATTCAATTGTCAAAGAAGTGATGCAAAGGTCTCCTAACAGTAAATTCCATAAGCTTGAGTGAAACTCTTCGCAACTAGTCTCGCTTTGAATCTCTCAATACCATCATCAGCTCTCCACTTAATGTTAAATACTCATTTGCATCCAACTGGCTTCTTATCTTGAGGAAGCCAACTAAGAATCAGTTTGTCATCATGTTTTAGTGTTTGAATCTCCTCTTCAACTGCATTCCTCTATTCTAGAATTTTAAGAGCTTCTGAATGAATTTAGAGATCTACAAACTATCAAGTTTATAAGCTAATAGTGTGAGGATAATTTCCAATAAGCTATATACTCCTGAATTGGATATTTAGTACAATTTTTCTTGTCATCAACAACATGAGTAAGGAGATAGCTCATGAGTTCTTGATCATTCAGCCAAAATTTCAGGTGAATGTGGACTCGATTTTTGGCTTGAATACTTCTGTCTTCGCAAGTTGTTTTCCACCTACTCAAGATTTTCTTCCTCTTCATGTACACACGAAGTTTTTCATTATAAACTTTAAGTTGATTTGGTTAGGCGTCCTCAGGTGAAATATTTTCATGAAGTGGTGTTTAGGAGATAGAAGTGCTAAGTGAAAGAAGGGTAGTTTGCGAGGCAATGTAGGTCTCATTAAGCATTTCTCAAAATTGATGTTCATTTGCACTTTCTCCCTAAACATCAAATTTGGAATAATATAGTTGATTTTTAAAAACTGTGACATTCATGGAGTTGCAGTACTTTTTATAACAGGTAGCACTTATAGCCCTTTTTTGTTGAAGGTATATCCAAATAAAAAACACATGATAGATTTAGCGTTAAGTTTTGTGCGGTCTGGGAAATGGATATGAACAAAGATACACATCCAAAAATTTTAACTGGTATGGCAAAAGAAAGCTTTGATGTGGAGATGGGTATACATCAAGACATTAAGTAATGTTTTGAAATTGTGTACTCGACTAGACGTTCGATTGATAAGGTATTTTGCAGTAAGGATTGTTTCCTCTCAAAAATATTTTGGAACCTGATGGAAAATTATAATTGAGTGGGATACCTCAAGAAGATGTATGTTCTTTCTCATGATTATCTCATTTTGCGGTGGGGTATCAATTAAAGAACTCACAAAAATGATTCCATTTTTTGAAAGGTAGGATCCAAGGAAGAAGTTGAAATATTCATTTGCATTATCAGTTTTGAGTATATAAATTTTACATTGGAATTGAATTTGAATCATGTCATAGAAAATTTGAAAGATTTGGGTTGTTTCAGATTTCTCAATTAGAATACCCATGAGTTTCGATTGTGATCATCAATAAATGAGACAAACTATCTAGTCATACTATGGATTTACTTTCGAAAGTCCCTAAATATCATTGTGGAAAATAGAAAAAGAATGAAAAAGTTTGTACTAATCTCACATTGATAAGTGCCAGATTTTTTATTGATAAACAAAAGAGGATACAACTTTGCAACATTAAAATTAGAACGACTCGGGCGACAATGTCATGATATGACTTATTTTTCAACAGACTGAAAAACTTTAGAAAAAGAAGTAGATGAGACCACTTGTGTGTTTAGAGAGAGACTTTCCTTGAGCTATAAGCATTGATGCATTTCAACACTACTAATCACCTTCTCCAAATCTACCACATGAAATTCAGAATATTTTGCAAGAAATTTAGTTGTACATTTCGTATCATGATTAAGCTTACTGATTGAAATTAAGTTACAATCCAATTGTGAAACATATAAAATGGAGAAAAAGAGCAATATCCGGAGAGAGCTCCACACCTCTCTTTCTAATAATTTTTTATGAGACTTATCTGCAACTCTGACAGATCTAGATGTATAAGTCTCTTGATAGTTGATTAGAGCATTGATATCTCCAATCATATGATTAGAAGCCCCTAAATTTATGATCAAACGTCTAAGTCTCCCGTTGCTAGCAAGATGGGAGAAGGATATATTACTTTGGTGTATCATGAGGCTTGTGAGTCACTCTAAATTACCCCCAAGTAATTTTTTTCAATACTTTAAGTTGTTCCTTGGTGAACGGGTCAGTCGACACCCAAGATGTAGTAGCAGCACAAGCCTTGCTCCCTTGATCCTTCTTTCTTTGTCCAGGTTTTAAATCTACCGATTTCTCATGAAGTTTCTAACATTTGTCTTTCAGGCGCCCAATTTTCTTGCAATAGTCACATGTGGGATGATTATTCTTGAACTTTGAGTCATGGGAAGAAATATGAGTATAGAATTGAGCGGTTACTGTTGTGAACCCTCATTCTGAGTCATCATAAGCTTCATTCTACTCTCTTAACTTCTAACTTCATCAAAAGCTTCACAGATAGATGAAAGAGGTTTTATTACCATGATCCTCCCACTCACTTCATTCAAATCCTTGGTTAGTCCCACTAAGAATTCGAAAGTTCTCTTCTTCTTGATGATGGATTTATATATCACATCATGTGAACATTTCCACATGTCTCAAACATATCAACTGAAGCCAATACTTTGTGGACATACACTCACTTCAATAAGTTTTTGCATATAATGCCCAACTCACAAGTGTTCTTCTACTTTCTTTGTTTTATTTTCAGAGCATTGTTGACCTCATTTTTAGTGAGGTCTAGTCTTTCTCTTAGGATTTAGGATCTAGCCTTAGGGGTCTCCCGGCGACTATCTTAGAGCCTTAGAAATGTGACCCACCTCGTTTTAGGAGTTCGACCTACCTCCGTCCCCTTCTAGAGTTTCGCGTGTGTGGTATCGACTTCTAACTCTTAGAAGGATGAAGCCAACATGAGGAAACCCAAAAGGGATTCCTATAGGACCTTTTGAGCCTTAGGGTGACCTTCTGCACAATTCGCACTCCCGCGCGCACAAACTTGACCCCCGCGCCCCGATCGCCACACTTCGCAGCGCTTGCACTGTTATTTGTCGAGGGTTCGAGTAAACGTTTTGAGACGATCGATCGCGAGTCGAAATTATGTGAAATTTGAATTTCGACGCGTTTTTGACCCGATTGTCGACGACGTCGTCCGAGCGACCCAGAATGACAAAACGGACTGCACCGGCGCGTCCGGAACGTCGATTTTGCCCAGGGAGGACACCTATTTTGTTACGTCGCCGCGCGCGAGTAAATCGGGTTTTATTTAATATATACGAATTTTTAATATTTTATATATGACTGGGTCCCAAAATTTTGTAAT